ACATTCCACAAGATTATTTTATCATCTATTTTCATACTAGATCATCTCTGTTCTTTATTAAGAAATAAATTGAATTTTATAATATCAAGATGTTGTTTATGTGCGAGTTGATATAATCTTTTAATCGCTAGTTATAAGAAATCTTTTTTTTTAATTATAAATGTGTCTAAAGTAATTTTTAAAAGTATTATCTACAATATAAAATTATAATTAGCATATATTAATACATTAGTATATATAGTTCAAATTTTTTAAAGAATATTTAAATTTAATCGAAAAATATTGATATGTATTTAATAACTTGTTATTAAGAATTTATTATACAGGGTGGACCATCTAGTGTTTGGAATTTCAACTACCAGTTTTGAGTTTGAAAGGCGTAATAACATTTATGACGTATCAGAAATTTAGTTTTTTGTTTGACATTTACGAAATGGGTCGCTATACGCTTGAACAAAATTGAGAAATATTAAAAACTTACTTCCAAAATGGTAAGTCTTCAACCCAAACTGTAAGAAATTTACGTGGAAAATTTGGTAGAAAAGAAATGCCTTCAACGCAGTTTGTGGATCAATTTGTGAAGCGAATTCGACAAACTGGATCCTTATTGGATAAAGCAACTCGTTCACGTCCAGTAAGGTCAACCAAAAACATTGCTGCTGTTGCTCAGAGTGTGCTTGAACAACTATCAACATCAACTCGCCATCGTTCTCAAAACTTGAACATTTCATGCACTTCTTTGAGAAGAATTTTGAATAAAGGCCTCGGTATGAAGCCGTACAAAGTTCAATTAGTGCAAGAATTGAAGCCGTATGACCATCCGATGCGTTTTCGGTTCGTCCAATGGGCTGAACAACGCTTGGTTGAAGATGAGCATTTTTACCGAAAAATCATCTTTTCTGACGAAGCTCATTTTCACCTCGGTAGCTCTATGTGAACAAGCAGAATTGTCGTATTTGGGAGTCAGAGAATCCGCACGTTGTCATGGAGAAGCCGATGCATTCACAACGAGTGACTGTTTGATGTGGTTTTTGGTCCGGCGGCAACATTGGGTCATTTTTCTTCGAAAATGAGCAAGAAGCTGACGTCACTGTCAATGGCGAGCGTTACCGCACCATGCTAAACGAATTCTTGCTTCCCAAATTTGAAGAGGAGGACACAGACGACATTTGGTTTCAACAGGACGGCGCACCTTGCCACACAACCAACGCTACAATCTTTTGCGCACTGTCTTCGAAAATTGCATAATCAGTCGAAATGCTGATGTTAATTGGCCGCCTCGCAGCTGCGATTTGACTCCGCTGGACTATTTTTTATGGGGAACCGTCAAGGATGAGAGTTACGCTAACCAGTCAGAAACGATTCAAGAATTAAAACATGAAATCAAAGTTGCCATCGATGAAATACGCGCTCATACAGTGGAAAATGTACTGAAAAATTGGATTGATAGAATGGGATATTGTGCAGCTAGCCGTGGAAGTCATTTGAATGAAATTGTATTTCATGTTTAATGGCAATGTACTACCTTTCCAATAAAGCTATAAACTTTGAAAAAATATTCATGCGTTTCTTTTTTAGAATCAAATTAAATTCCAAATTTTAAATGGCCTTGTACTTGTCTAACTATCTTTATTGTAAACGATGCTACAGAATATTTAGAATATTTCTTGCAAAAAATAAGAAAATTTGTTTTTACAATTTCTATAATAAATATTGCAATTTATTTAAAATTAAATTTTTATCAGATTTTTGCTATTTGTGAAAGATTACACTAGTTTACCGTAAAAAATGATTTTGAATCGAACTAGATGTTTTTTTACAGATTTTTGTACGCTGAAAATCAATCAAAATCATGATGCTGCAAATCAAAAAGTTCCAGCATATCAGATTTTTAAAGATAATTGTAATTTAGTGTCCAAAAAGTAGACTAGAAACGTTACCTTGAAAAAAAATAATGCTTTACCATTAGTTACTTTTTGTTAAAAATAACTCGTTTCTAACTCGTTATAGGATTAATTAGAAGTACATTTCTAAGAACACGAAAGTGAAACATCTTTTACCGCCAATAATATCGAAATATGATCGAATCCGACCCATCCAGTAAAAATTAAAGTAACGATAAAAGTAAAGACTGAATTGTTATTGTTACTACAAAAATATAATGATCATTCTCGAAAAAATAACGGCGTTATCAGTAACGCACTTACTTTCCAACTCTGCCAAAAAGTGATATTGTTTTGTAAGAAAAGTTAATGTTATCTTGAAATTTAAAGTCATAAATGTATTATTCACTCTCTATAAAACTTTCTTTTATTTTAATATCATATTTTTTTAGCTATAAAAAATTTAAATGCAAGGTTTCTCTAAGATAACAAATTTTCTACAATGATGAAGATCTTTTATCTGAAATATATTTTTTTGAATACATTTTTTTCGAGATATTTAAGATAGGCAATTAAAATGAGACACTTCTTGTGTGTGTGTATATATATATATATATATATATATATATATATATATATATA